CCCGCTCCCCCGGCAGCGGCTGCTCCCCGGGTACTGGATGTGTTTTCTGGTCTGGCCAAGGACTCCCCCGTCCTCGCTGGAGCTGCTCTGGATGCCTCCACACCACACCTGGGCTTTCCCTGGGGAAGCAGCTTGGTGCTGGGAGCGGGGAAATGCTGCTTGCCCCCTTGGTGGGCTCCTGGCACACCAGGGAGGTCAGGTAGATGTTGAGTCAGGTGGAGGGGAAGCAGCAGAGAAACCTTCAGCAGGGCCAGAGCAGCCTGGTTTGGGCTTTAATGCAGCTCCGCTTTAAAAAGAAAAGCCTGGGAGATGCTGTGCAGGGGTTCGGTGGTTTCCTGGTGCACAAGCGCGGGTCCCTGCATGGGGTGGCTGGCTGTCCTGTGCCACCACCCTGGGGGAGGACACGCGCCGGTGCTGAGCCCCGCATTGGCTGAGGGGTGAGGGACGCCTTACGTGTGCCCCGGTGGCTTTTCCATCCTGTCCCCACCACCGGATACCTCCCTGCAGGAGGGGATGTTCACACCTTCCTGCTCCTCTGCCAGGTCTGCGGGCAGGGTCTCACCCCTGTGGACCCCTCACCCTGCCAGAGGGCAGGGCCCGCTGCCTCCACAATGGCGAGATGGCTGCCTCGCTCCGCCGACCTGACCCGCTTCTGCCAGAAACTCAACCGGGTGAAGACCTTGGAGGATGACATGATGGAGACGTCCTTCAACCGATGCCTTTCCACCATTGACTTGACGCTACTGGGCATTGGGGGCATGGTGGGCTCCGGGCTGTATGTCCTCACGGGCACTGTGGCCAAGGAGATCGCCGGCCCTGCCGTCATTGTCTCCTTCATCATTGCCGGCTTTGCCTCACTCCTGGCTGCTCTCTGCTATGCCGAGTTTGGAGCCCGGGTACCCAAGACAGGCTCCGCGTACATGTTCACCTACGTGTCCGTGGGGGAGATCTGGGCCTTCCTTATCGGCTGGAACGTGCTGCTGGAGTACATGATCGGGGGAGCCGCAGTGGCCAGGGCCTGGAGTGGCTACCTGGACTCCATCTTCAACCACAAGATAAAGAACTTCACCGAGACCCACGTGGGCACCTGGCAGGTGCCGTTCCTGGCCCGTTACCCCGACTTCCTGGCGGCCGCCATCCTGCTGGTAGCCACCGCCTTCATCTCCTTTGGGGCCAAAGTGTCCTCCTGGCTCAACCATGTCTTCTCGGCCGTCAGCATGGGTGTCATCCTCTTCATTCTCATCATGGGTTTTGTCCTCGCGCAGCCCAAGAACTGGAGTGCCCAGGAGGGTGGCTTCGCCCCGTACGGGCTATCGGGCATCATGGCTGGCACGGCCACCTGCTTCTACGCCTTCGTGGGCTTTGATGTCATCGCGGCCTCCAGTGAAGAGGCCAGGAACCCGCAGAGGGCTGTTCCTAGGGCCATCGCTTTCTCCTTGGGGCTGGCCACCGGAGCCTACATCCTGGTGTCGGTGGTGCTGACGCTGATGGTGCCCTGGCACACGCTGGACCCCGACTCTGCCCTGGCGGATGCATTTTACAGGAGGGGCTACGCCTGGGCAGGGTTCCTGGTGGCCGCTGGTTCCATCTGTGGTGAGTACAGGGAGCGGCGGTGGGCGCTGCTCACCTTGCTCGCACTGGGGGCCGAGAACCAGGGAGGTTTGGGTCTGACATGGTCCTCTTTCTTCTGCCTGTCCCTCAGCGATGAACACGGTCCTGTTGAGCAACCTCTTTTCCCTGCCGCGCATCGTCTACGCCATGGCCGAGGATGGGCTCTTCTTTCAGGTCTTCTCCCGAGTGCATCCCCGCACACAGGTGCCTGTCGTTGGCATCGTGGTCTTCGGGCTGCTCATGGCCCTGCTGGCCCTCGTCTTCGACCTGGAGGCCCTAGTGCAGTTCCTGTCCATCGGCACGCTGCTGGCCTACACCTTCGTGGCCGCTAGCATCATTGTCCTGCGCTTCCAGCAGCAGAAGGTGGACGTCCCCGCACCGGCGGCCGGTGTCCAGCCCAGCCCCAAGCCCCACGAGGGTCCGTCCGCCAGTGAGCTGAAGGAGTACGAGTCCTTCTCCGACAAGCTTCAGCTGGTGGACAGGGACAAGAGCAAAGAGCACCGGGAGCCAGGGCAGCTGAAGGCAGCTTTTGAGCCCTACCTGGAGTTCCTCAGCGACTTCTACCCGGGCGAGGTGGTCACGGTGGCCGTGGTGACCCTGATGGTGTCCGCCATCTGCCTCTGCTCTGTCTTGGTGTTCGGCAACACCCACCTCCACCTGCCCACCTGGAGCTACTCCCTGCTGCTGGTCCTCTTCAGCCTGGGCTTTCTGCTCAGCCTTCTTCTCATCTGGGCGCACGAGCAGCAGCGCAGCACACAGACCTTCCAGGTACTCCCCAGGGCCTGGGCAGGATTAGTCCCTCTGCCGGGGTCGGTCGGGTGGGAGCAGCTCCAATGGACCCACGGGAGGCCCCAGTCACAGCAGGCTGGTGAAAGCACCGCAACTGCTGAAGGAGGAGGAGGAGGAGGAGGAGGAGGGTGCCAGCGAGCACTGGGCATGGGGAGGTGGTGCCGTCAGTGTCACTCCGCGTGGTCACTGCTCCCCAGGAGGGGACATCCCCAGCAGCTCTGTGTCCATCCCACAGGATTGCTCCCACCTGCCCTGGGCTCCCTCCTCCACGTCCCCACAGGCTCCCACTCCCCTCCTGCGTGTCCCAACTCCTTCTGCCTTTGGCCTGCCCTTGAACAACATGGTGGAGCTCATTTCTTCAGCCTCCAAACCACTTTTGGGCCTCTTGTGCTCCCCCCTTTCCAGTTTCCAGCCTGTCTGGGCCCCAGTGTGGTGCAGCCATGTGGACGGTAAGGCCAGTAGTAACACCACCTCCCTGCCGTGCTCCTGCCCCAGCTTCTCCAGCAAGGACCACGATGCCTGAATGTGGCACCAGGAGCTTGTTCAGTCCTTGTGATGATGCCTCTGGGCTGTTTCCAGCACCTGTGCCCACCCCACCAGCCTGGCTCCCAGCTCCCGGCTCCGTAACTGTCTGTTGTTCCTTTTGGCTACCTTTCTCCCCCAAAAAAGTCATTTTCAGAAAGCCCAGGGTGACAGTCACTTTGTCCCCCGCAGTTACCAGTGCTGGCTTTTGTCTCTGTGGTTTTAAGGATGGGGAGTGTGGTCCTGCAGGTCTCACACACACCACCCTGGCTCCTTTTCTCCCACAGATCCCCCTGGTACCCCTCTCCCCGGCACTGAGCATCGTCCTCAATATCTATCTGATGCTGAAGCTTAGCTACATGACGTGGCTCCGCTTCGCTGTCTGGCTGCTCTTAGGTGAGTGCTCCCGTGGCAGCATGAGCCCCGGCAGGGCAGTGGCTGCTTTGGCAGCTCTTTTCCCCCAGCGATGGGTTTATAAAGCCCATCGTGCCCCTTTCTGCCTCTGGTTCCCCTTTGGAGACACAAGCTAAGGTCTCCCAGCATCTCCCTGACCCTCTCTGGTTCCTGGAGAGTTACAGCTTAAGGTAACCTGTTAAGGTTTGGATCCTCCTTCAAGCTCTGCACCAGAACCACCCCCTGCTCCTGAGGCAGCTCCCTGGGGCTCGGGACGTCCTTTCCAGCAAGGGGCTTCCCCTCCCCGGGGACTGGGGCTGACCCTCTTGCTCTTAACACGCTGCGGGATCCTTTTCCTCCTTCCAGCAGCTTGTTAAGCACCAGCACCTCGGTGCTGTGGCTTGTGCTGCTCCGCCGGGATGCTGGCCGCGTCCACGCC